ATTGTAAGGAATGTCATTACTCCACTTAACTGTTATGACCATGAAACTGAACAACAGTGTTGCAATTGCTGTGTTTAAGTGGTCCAGGTGATCCACCAATAACACTGCAATGGATTGACAAAAATGGCAATGTACTGACAGAAAGCACTCAAAGCATGTTAAGAACACATAATTACCATTCATTAGCACATAGAGTACCCATTGAGTCTTTATACCAAAGTGAACAGTTTACCTGTGTAGCTACAATTCCAGGATCAGTAACAACACAGGAATGCATATGTATAGGTAGGAATACCATACGCTTCTCATTTACTTACAATCAGTCAACTGTGGGTGTGCCAGCAACTACAGAGAATGTTTCAATCAATTAAAACTCCAATGACGTATCTGGTAAAAGTTACCTTACCTTACCATCAACACCACCACCTGTAAGCTACAGCCAAAATATCACAACAGAGGCTTATGAAGCAACTAAATGTGAGAATGTGCACATGCTAACTGATAGTGAAACTCCCCATCAAGATATCTTATCAGAAGAGATCAATTTAGTTACTATCATCATATCTGTCATTGGTATAGTAAGTATTGCAATGAATGTGGCATTACTGTACACAACCATGAGAAAAAATAAACAAAAATGTGACAAAGGGATGTCAATGGAACCATGTGGCATACGTCAGCAACATGGTGAATCCACAGGACAACATCCAGGTGCTCCATCACAAGATAATGATGGTTACATGGAGACTCTCAACAATACACCCAGTCATTACGAACAGTTGGGAGAATCAGATACTCCATCACATCAACTATACCCCCCATTATGATCAATTGGGAGCACCAGCTTAAGTGTCATAATGTGAATCATCAAATTACAAAATCAGTAGACACACGTTCACTTTAAAAGAATCATTTTGCTTTAAATACAGTAGTGTTACATTAAAAAAAATATATAAAAATAATTCTAAGGAAAAAAGGACTTGACCAACATTACTTGAGAATTACTTTATTAAAGACAATTATTACAAACATATAGACTGAGTTTAGCTGGTGAACATAATGGGCTGCAACATGGAATATTAATACCATAATATACATGGGGTTCACAAATAGTGTCCTGGTAATTCAAAGTAGTGGCAGTTTGGCGCAGCGGTTGAGGTTTGGGCTTTCAATCGTAAGGTCGGGGTTTCGAGTCTCCACCCAGCTGTATCAATGGGTACCAGCAAACTGCTGGGGACTAACCTGCGATGGACAAGTGTCCCGTCCAGGGGGAGTACAACTCTCATCCGCTTCACACTACAGAAACTGGGGAGAAGCTCCAGCCCTATGAGCCCCAGTGGCTCAGAAAGGATTTAGTACTTAGTAGTTCGTAATTCAAAGTAAAATGATACAGCCATGATCAAAATACAATATATTTTATCATTAATTATTATTTCAAAGAATACACACTATCAAACCAATTGCTTACTTGTGTACGAATTAACAAGCAATTATTAGTTTTTGTTTCAAAGGTTAGTTGAGCACATTTTTGGTTTGCATAATTTGATGTTAATAAAATGCAGATACCTTCCATGCTTTAATGTTATTATTTCTTTCTTGGAAATCAAAGCCCTGTTCAAAAACACCCATCTGGTGATACAAGCTTTTCCATGTTTAAATAAAGTAGGTAATATTAATTCTAAGAGCACCTACATAGCTTAAGAAGCATTTAATATGGAAATCTAGGATGGTACACAATTGCCAGTATATACACAATAATTTTATACTAAATATTCCAACAGGTTAAAAAAAAATTTAGATGATGACAGGTGGCCCCGATTACTCTTGAAAGCAGTTATGCATAATGAAAATAAAATGAAATGGAAATGGTTAAATTTTACTAAGCAGCTTCTTTCAAAGCATGACTTAAAGTAGAGGTACAGTACAGTACAATTATGTGGTAGAACACAGCAATGTGTGACGGCCAAGCACCTGGAAAAACAGTTTCGAAACGAATCAATTAAATAATAATAATAATAATAGATGGATTTATATAGCGCAAACAAACGAGGTCTCTATGCGCTCGGGACTAGATGTTGGACTTTCCAATAACTTTCACCTCCCCTAAGGGTCAATTCATGTCCTCTGCAGCCAGTAAACCGGCGCACTTTCATCTGTCTACGACAGGGGCTGGGTGGACCAGTACACCAGGGTAACTCCCTACTTATCTCGAAAGATGTACTGGGTTCTTTAAAGTGCACATGAGCATTTGTGTACACTGGGCCTACGGTTTATAGTCCTTATCTGAGAAGACTTGTTTCACCACCAGAACTATAGGAGCGAGCCGGACGCAAACCCATGCAGATATTGTTGGCTATGATCACGGTGCCCCTGCCTTAAACTATTAGGCATAAAATCAATACTGCTCTTGTGTGTAGCCTACTGTCAATGAGCAAGAGAGCAGAGCGGGAAGGTTATATGCTTTTTACACCGAGAAAAACGTGACGTAATCTTAGAAATGACGTGTGCATAATTAATTTAACCAAATTCTAAGTGTGTCCCCATACAAAAATTTTCTATAGAATTCTATAAAAAAAATTCTATAGATTTTCTATAGAAAATTTTATATAAGTTCTATAGAATATTTTAAACAAATTCTATAGAAAATATATAAAAATATTCTATACAATCTCTAAAGAATTTCTATACAATTTCTAAAAGGATTTCTATACAATTTCTAAAGGATTTCTATACAATTTCTAAAGAAAAGTGGCTTAATTCTCTATAAGAATCTATAGAAATTTACAGCATTTCTATAGAAAATAACAAGTGTTTCTATAGAGAGTAATGCTGTTATAATTTCTTTTCTATAGAAAACTATTATTTTCTATAGAAATTGACAATACTTCTATAGAAAAGAACAGCATTTCTATAGAAATTATTGCA